GAAAGAGACTAAGACATTCTAGTCATAATTGAAATGAGGGTGTTGTAAGAGTCATCTCAAACTTTTGCAAAATGAATCTCTTATGAGGAATCACTCGAATAAATGTACAGTTAGCAAATTCAATGACGAATTTGCCATGCATGGTTATAGAATGATGTGGTTAGACAAGTTTATAACTGCGTTTCTTCAAATTTCAGTTGACTACTAGGAAAGGAGAGGACTGGAGTTAGCATCGAACAGCTTTTTGTTCTCATTTCTCTTCCATACTTACTGATTGTTTGTAACTGAACATGAAGACAAATTTCAAAAAGTGGAGTACATGGGGCTTAATGGGATAATCAACAAATGTGGTCGAGAGAGCATGGAAGAAACTCTGTGTTATGGCTGCCAAATAGAAACATAACAATAGTGGTGATATTTAAAGTTTTAGAAGGAAACAAAGCTAAAAAGCACAAGTGAAATTAATTTTTAATTAATATTTTATTAAATATTTAATTTGAATTTATTTAATCTAATATATGAAAACATTTCCACTTCAGCATATTATCCATATACAATTATTAAAAAGATTTTTTTTATTCTTTCTTGTATTTCATTTTCTGAAGCTAGTGTCTTTTTATTGAAAAATAATTTTTCTGAAAATGTGTTTGGATCGGTTTCTTTTTCTCCAACTTCTCCCAGAATTTCTCTACATTTTTATCCCTCCCCTCCCCTTTCTTTCAAACAGAAAAACTACAAACAAATCAGAATTAACAAAAAAAAGAAAATAGAAGCACAACAACAACACACACACACACACACACACACACACCAAAATCCATAAAAAATAAAAACACAAAATTGGAAAGCATACAAGCAAGAGAACAACCAGACAAAAATGCTATTGAGTTCATTTTGTTTTCGCCATCTACTTCCTTCTGCATGTGGATTTTATGATCTAATCTCATTACATGGTAATTGTCTTACAGTTAGTTAAAGCTGCCTGTGCTCCATTTGCTGTATATAAATTGTCTCATTCCAGTACCAACAAGTGAGCTTCTCTCACCCGTCGTCTTGTAGTATGGCCAAAAAAATGAGAAGTAGGGCCTCCGATTAACTTAAAAGCAATTATGCATAAAGAATTTATAAATCTGTTTACCTGGACGGAAACAAAACATATCATATACATGCACCAAACATTACATGGTACCTCACTAATAAGTACAGCTTTATTTATGAGTTTCACTTAACGATAAGTAAGTAAATGAGAACAAGAGCAATCCACCTGTTGTATCAAAGAACAGTTAATCGTCATTAGTATTAGTCTCCAGGCAACTCATCTCTTACTTACTTCATTCTTTAAGATTTTCACATTTTTAGGATGTCTTTGTATATGTGTGTGTTTGTGTGTGTGAACACTCATGAACATATGTGTGCATGTACCCACGAAGGCTAGAATCCCCCTGGAACTGGTGTTATAGGCCCCTCCAGGTCCTCCTGTGTCCCTTTCCCATACTCCCTACAATTCATGACCTTTTTGATAATTATTGCTGTTGTGTACACCAAAAGCAAAGCAAAACAAAAAGTTGTTGTGGAATATTATTTTAAAATTTGTTACATTTGTTTATGTTGTGCAGCATTTGTTTAATGATGCAAAGATGTGTTGCATTCTTTTATGTTGCATTTGTTTAACTCTGTGAAACTGTTACTTTGTTTGTCTAAAACACCTGATTGATCTAATAAAGAGCTGAACAGCCAGTAGCTAGGCAGGAGAGAGAAATAGGTGGGACTGCCAGGTAGAGAGAATAAATAGGAGAAAGAGAAACAAAAGGAGCGGGAAAGGGAGAAGGAAAGGAACAGCCACATAGCCACACAGCTAGCCACGGAGTAAGAAGTAAAGAAAGGTATATAGACTAGAGAAAGGTAAAAGCTCAGAGGCAAAAGGTAGACGGGATAATTTAAGAAAAGCTGGTTAGAAATAAGCCAGGCATTCACGAGTAAGTATAAGTCTCTGTGTATTTATTTGAGAGTTCTGTGGCAAGTCCCCAAAGATCAAAGTGTAAAAACAAAAAAGAACCAACTACAAATAATGAGTCTAGTTAGTGTTGCCCACATGTACAAGTGTATGGTTAGAAGTGACCACTTAGGATTGGGAAATTTGTTACCGGGGGCTCATCTCTGAGGAAAACTAATTCTCTCTCCTGGAGCAGCTGTTGACTGCCTGGGGCTCTTCATCTAGATGTGCAACAGCCTTGTGAAAATTTCCTGTATCCTCATTTCCATGTCCACTGTGAAGGTCCTATGCAACCATATTTAGAGTATATGGGTGCAGCACCCCAGTCATGTCAGGAAGACTAGCTCTCCCTGCAGTTGCTCTGGTCCTCAAGTCTTACACTCTTTGTGCCCCCTCTTCTACAATGATCCCCAAACTTTAGTTGTAGGGGTTGTGTTGTAGATATTCCAGTTGGGTGTAGGCATAAAACAGTCAGTTGCTCTCTGCTCTTTGGTCAGGTGTGGATCTTTGAGGCACCCTCCCCCCCCCACTGATAAAAGATGCTTCTTTGATAAGGGCTGGAGGTACATTTATCTTTGAGTAGAAATCTAAATATTGAAGCTGGATTGATTATTCTAAAAATGATAGTAGTAGGTTATTTCTTTGGATTATGACTTCTGCAAGCACAGGCTCTTGACTGGGTTTACAGGAACAGAAATTAGCTACCTCCTCCGGAATGGGTCTCAAGTCCAATTAGACAACTGTTTTGTAGTCCTCAGACCTGACTGCCACTTTTGCACTATTGGGAAATCCTGTCAGTTCAGTTGTTATTGTGGTTCTTGGGTTGACAACTGGGTCAGACTCTTAATAACTTTTCTCCCTAGGCAGCTTGCATAGCACCTTTGGATACATTGAGAACTAGCCATTAAGAGAGGAGGCTTCCAAGTCTGGACTGTAACCAAAGTGCATGGTGTCTTCATCAATAGGGCCATGCCTTCAAGTTGTGGGAGGTAATCAGGGGGAATGGAAATAACCTATATTGTTTTGATGGATCTCCTGGCCCTGGGGGGATTTTTGTTAGATACTCTGTGGCTCTTGGGAGAGCATTCTCACTCCCATGTTGGGTAACTCTTTTTCAATATATCCTATACTGCCTCCCGAGTGCTGGGATTAAAGGCGTGCACCACCACTGCCCAACATATAATGCATTTTAAATAAGCTTATAAAATAATGTGTTTTCTTACGGGTTTTTCAAACATTCTTAGTGTTCTTTATCTCTCCTTCCTCCCTTTCCCTCTGCATTACCCATCCTTACTGCCTCAAGCCCCTCCCCGTTTTCTCTTTGCACCTTTCCCAGCGCCTGTGCTTCACTAGTCCCCTCTCTAGTACTCCTCCTCCCTTCCTCAGTGGTCTTTTTCTACTTTCTTGACTTTTTGTTACTCAAGTTATATATGCAAATCTGAAGATTCAGAACTAGTAACAAGAATTAAAAGAGAGCATGCAGTAAGTATTTGTCTCTCTGCTTCTGGGTTACCTCACTCAGCATATTTTTTCCAGTTCCTTCCATTTGCCTGCAAATTTCATGATTTCATTTTTCTTTTCAGCTGAATAGAATTCTATATCATATCTGAACAAACCCACATATTAAGAGAAAAGAAGAAATCAAGTTATTGGATTTTTAACACAGACCAAATGTATCATTTAAAAAAAACTCAAATGTTCATTCAAAGAATAACTTTAAAACCATAAGCTTGTATGTAAAAAGAAGGAAAAAGTATGACTAATGAAAGGCCTGAAGAAATAGCATCTAAAATATGTTCTCGCTCACTGTTTTGACTCCATCCCCCATTTCTCTCACTCTTAACTGTTCTGACCAAAAATGATTTAAGACTGGAATTCTGCTTGCCTTATCATCAAGTACACACAGATGGTGATGATAAAAACAGATATGTCCCATTTGTATGATGGTGTTTTAAACAGGAGTGATACATAACTCACAGTAAACCTGCAAGAGATGACTGGAGGAGCTAGATGTAGTATATGGGGAAGTCTCTGGAGACTAGAATCTAGTCCCAACTCTACTGCTTTCAGAACAGTGGTCAATGAATCATAAGCTAGTTGACATTCTATTGTAAACAGACTTTTTATTAGGTGACTTTTGCCCAGTGGTAGCTTACCTAAATATTCTAAGGATGTAGAAGATAGGTGTCTTATGGTTTCCATTGCTGTGATAAAGTACCATGACCAAAAATCAACTTATGGATGCAAGGGTTTATTTTATCTTATAGCTCGTCATGCATTGCTGAGGGAAATTTGGACAAGAAACTGGAGGCAGAAGCTGATGCAGAGGCCATGGAGGAGTGATTCTTACTGGCTTGCTCATCATGGTTTGCTCAGTCTGCTTTCTTATAACAACCAGTTGTAGGACTACCAGCCCGAGGATGGCACCACCAACAAAGGCCGGGGCATTCCACCACCAATCAATAATTAAGAAAATGCCCTACAGGCTTGTATACTGCCATATATTATGGAGGTATTTTCTCAATTGAGAGTCCCTCTTCCCAAATGACTTTCGTTTATGCCACGGTGACATAAAACTATCCAGCACAGTAGGTCATGCAAGCTAAGCTATGAGATTCAATAAGTTAGATATATTAAAATACTTTTCTTGCCCTTTCTTTCTTTCCACATCGCCCTTCAACTCACTTTGTAGCTGCAGATGATCTCTACTGTCAGCCAACTCCTCCTCCTACCACCTCCCAAGTTCTGAGTTTGCAAGCATGCAACACCATTCTCAGTTTTATGTGGTGCTGGGGAGCGAAAGGAAGCTAGGCACACATTTTACCAGTTGGCCTATATCCCTAGCAGAGGACTTTCAGGTTAATGATATTTTTCATAGTGGGTTAACTGGGATATAGCTTCGTCATCAATTTCACTAATTTTTATCTCTCTCTCTCTCTCTCTCTCTCTCTCTCTCTCTCTCTCCCCTGTCCTCTCTTCTATCTCCCATTTTCTTTTCTGTCCACAGTTACTGTTTTGAGCCCAGTAGAAAAAGGTAAGTGTGTATTGTGAACTGTGTTGGTTAGAAATGTATTATGTATCCTTTTCTTTTTAAAAAAGTGAATTATATAAAGTCTATAAACTGAGGAACTTTAACAAAAATATACTTGGTTTATTAGAACAATTAGGGTGATTTATTAAATGAAGCTTACTCAGAAATAGAGCAAATCATATTTTTTTGGTGGCCCTTTTGGCTATAAGATAGCAATTAGAAATGATATTCATCGTGAGATGGACACAGGTAATCACATTATCTTCCACAGTGACTCCTAAGCTCTCCCTTGTTCTGCCATTATTGTTCTAGATACCTGACCTTTCTTCCCAACCCATCCCCTCTTTAAGATATAGAGTGAGGATCCCACAGACCTTGACCATCGCAGCTCCTGTATATTTTTGTGCTCCTCTCCAGATCATCACCCTCTTAGCTTGATCTACATACATTTTTTAAAAACACTGAGGCACTTTGCATTTAAAATGTGTAAGCGAATCATAAGTCTCCATGAACAATTAGCTCTATATTATTTTATAAGTAAGATCCAGAGTATATATAGTGTAGTTTACAGTGTCACTTTTAATTCTCATTTCATGAGAGTTTGTTGTTAGAATTCATGGACCTTCCCAGCATTCAAGATCTGCTGTGTTACCATTCTGCTTTTTATTGGTCATTTAACATGAATAACAGAGCAGTAGGAATGGGAGACAATGGATAATAGTACTTAAAAGTGTGGGCTCTAGAGCCAGATTGAATTTACAGCTTGGTTCTTTTTTTTCTTTTTTTTTTTTTAATAATTTTTTTATTAAGAAAAGAAGAAAAAAAAACATAAACAAAAAACAAGTTTCCACCTCCTCCCAGCCTCCCATCTCCCTCCCCCTCCTCCCACCCTTCTCCCCCTCCTCCCACCCTTCTACCCCTCCCCCCACTCCTCTCCCCCTCCCTCTCCAGTCCACAGAGCAGTCCAGGTTCCCTGCCCTGTGGCAAGTCCTAGGTCCTCCCCCCTCCGTCCATATCTAGGAAGGTGAACATCCAAACTGGCTAGGCTTCCACAAAGCCAGCACATTAAGTAGGATCAAAACCCCGTGCCATTGTCCTTGGCGTCTCATCAGCCCTCATTGTTCGCCATGTTCAGAGAGTCTGGCTTTATCCCATGCTTTTTCAGTCACAGTCCAGCTGGCCTTGGTGAGCTCCCAGTAGATCAGCTCCACTGTCTCAGTGGGTGGGTGCACGCCTCGTGGTCCCGACTTCTTTGCTCATGTTCTCCCTCCTTCTGCTCCTCATTGGGACCTTGGGAGCTCAGTCCAGTGCTCCAGTGTGGGTCTCTGCCTCTGTCTCCATCCATCACCAGATGAAGGTTCTATGATGATATGCAAGATATTCGTCAGTATTGCTCTCGGATAGGGTCATTTCAGGTTCCCAATCCTCAGCTACCCAAGGAACTAACTGGGAACCTCATGTTGGGCACTTGGGAGCCCCTCTAGGGTCAAATCTCTTGCTCACCCTAAAGTGGTTCCCTTAACTAAGAATTGTGGTTCCGTGCTCCCCTATCCACCTTTCCTTTATCCCAATTCTCCTGATTCCCCAAGTCCCCCCTCCTTCCCTTCTACCTTTTCTCTCCCCATCTCCCCTTACCCCCATCCCACCCCACCCCCAAAATCCTAATTTTCTCCCCGGCAATTGGGTCTACTTCCCTTAGCCAAGAGGATAACTATATGTTTTTCCTTGGGTTCACCTTCTTACTTAGCTTCTTTAGGTTCACCTATTGTAGACTCCGTGGCCCTAATTTATGGCTAGAAACCAATTATGAGTGAGTACATCCCATGTTCATCTTTTTGGGTCTGGGACACCTCACTCAGGATAGTGTTTTCTATTTCCATCCATTTGCCTGCAAAATTCGAGAAGTCATTGTTTTTTACCGCAGCGTAGTACTCTAGCGTGTATATATTCCATACTTTCTTCATCCATTCTTCCATTGAAGGGCATCTAGGTTGTTTCCAGGTTCTGGCTATTACAAATAATACTGCTATGAACATAGTTGAACAAATGCTTTTGTCATATGATAGAGCATCTCTTGGGTATATTCCCAGGAGTGGTATTGCTGGGTCCAGGGGTAAGTTGATCCCGAATTTCCTGAGAAACCGAAACACTGACTTCCACAGTGGTTGCACAAGATGGCATTCCCACCAGCAATGGATGAGGGTACCCGTTCCTCCACAGCCTCTCCAGCAAAGGTTATCCTTGGTGTTTTTGACTTTAGCCATTCTGACAGGTGTAAGATGATATCTCAAAGTTGTTTTGATTTGCATTTCCCTGATTGCTAAGGAAGTTGAGCACGACTTTAAGTGTCTTTTGGCCATTTGAACTTCCTCTGCTGAGAATTCTCTGTTCAGTTCAGTGCCCCATTTTTTAATTGGGTTAATTAGCATTTTAAAGTCTAGTTTCTTGAGTTCTCTATATATTTTGGAGATCAGACCTTTGTCTGTTGTGGGGTTGGTGAAGATCTTCTCCCAATCAGTAGGTTGCCTTTGTGTCTTATTGACTATGTCCTTTGCTTTACAGAAGCTTCTCAGTTTAAGTAGGTCCCATTTATTCAGTGTTGCCCTTAATGTCTGTGCTTCTGGGGTTATACATAGGAAGCGATCTCCTGTGCCCAGCTCCTGTAGGGTACTTCCCACTTTCTCTTCTATCAGGTTCAGTGTGTTCGGGCTGATATTGAGGTCTTTAATCCATTTGGACTTGAGTTTTGTGCATGGTGATAGATAAGGGTCTATTTTCATTCTTCTACAAGATGACATCCAGTTGTGCCAGCACCATTTGTTGAAGATGCTTTCTTTCTTCCATTTTATACTTTTAGCTCCTTTATCGAAAATCAGGTGTTCATAGGTTTGTGGGATAAAATTCGGGTCTTCTATACAATTCCATTGGTCGACTTCTCTGTTTTTATGCCAGTACCACACTGTTTTCATTACTGTAGCTCTGTAATAGAGTTTGAAGTCAGGGATGGTAATGCCTCCAGAAGATCCTTTATTGTATAGGATTGTTTTGGCTATCCTGGGTTTTTTGTTTTTCCATATAAAGTTGATTATTGTCCTCTCCAGATCTGTGAAGAATTTTGATGGGATCTTGATGGGGATTGCATTGAATCTATAAATAGCCTTTGGTAGAATTGCCATTTTTACTATGTTGATCCTCCCAATCCAAGAGCAAGGGAGGTCCATCCATTTTTTGGTATCCTCTTCAATTTCTTTCTTCAATGCCTTAAAGTTCTTGTCAAATAGATCTTTCACTTCCTTGGTTAGATGTACCCCAAGATATTTTATGCTGTTTTTGGCTATTGTGAATGGTGAAGCTTCTCTGATTTCCCTCTCTGCTTCCATATCCTTTGTGTATAAGAGGGCGACTGATTTTTTGGAGTTGATCTTGTATCCTGCCACATTACTAAAGCTGTTTATCAGCTGTAGGAGTTCTTTGGTGGAGTTTTTGGGGTCGCTTATGTACACTATCATATCGTCTGCAAATAACGAAAGTTTAACTTCTTCCTTTCCAATTCGAATCCCCTTGATTCCATTATGTTGTCTTATTGCTATTGCTAGAACTTCAAGCACTATATTGAAGAGGTATGGGGAGAGTGGACAGCCTTGTCGTGTTCCTGAGTTAAGTGGGATGGCTTTGAGTTTCTCTCCGTTTAATTTGATGTTAGCTGTCGGCTTGCTGTATATAGCTTTTATTATATTTAGGTATGACCCTTGTATCCCTAATCTCTCCAAGACTTTTAACATAAATGGATGTTGAATTTTGTCAAATGCTTTTTCAGCATCTAATGAAATGATCATATGGTTTTTTTCTTTCAGTTTATTTATATGCTGGATTACATTGATAGATTTTCGTATGTTGAACCAGCCCTGCATCTCAGGAATGAAGCCTACTTGATCATAATGGATAATTTTTCGGATGTGTTCTTGGATTCGATTTGCCAGTATTTTGTTGAGGATTTTTGCGTCGATATTCATGAGTGAGATTGGCCTGTAGTTCTCTTTCCTGGTTGAGTCTTTGAGTGGTTTTGGTATCAGAGTAATTGTGGCTTCATAAAAGGAGTTTGGTAATGACCCTTCTGTTTCTATCTTGTGGAATACATTAAGGAGTATAGGTATTAGATCTTCTTGGAAGATCTGGTAGAATTCCGCATTGAAACCATCTGGTCCTGGGCTTTTTTTGGTAGGGAGGTTTTTGATAACCTCTTCTAATTCTTCGCGACTAACAGGTCTATTTAGATTGTTCACCAGGTCCTGATTTAACTTTGGTATATGATATTTATCTAAAAAAGTATCCATTTCCTTTACATTTTCCAATTTTGTGGCATATAGGCTTTTGTAGTAAGATCTAATGATTCTCTGAATTTCCTCTGTGTCTGTGGTTATGTCCCCCTTTTCATTTCTGATCTTATTAATTTGCAAATTCTCTCTCTGCCGTTTGATTAGCTTGGATAGTGGTTTGTCAATCTTGTTGATTTTCTCCAGGAACCAGCTTTTTGTTTCATTGATTTTTTGTATTGTTTTCTGTGTTTCTATTTTGTTGATTTCAGCCCTCATTTTGATTATTTCCAGTCTTCTACTCCTCCTAGGTGAGTCTGCTTCTTTTTTTTCTAGAGCTTTCAGGTGGGCTGTTAAGTCTCCAATGTGAGCTTTCTCTGTTTTCTTTAAGTGGGCACTTAGTGCTATGAACTTTCCTCTTAGGACTGCTTTCATAGTGTCCCATAAGTTTGAGTATGTTGTTTCTTTATTTTCATTGAATTCCAGGAAGACTTTAATTTCTTTCTTTATTTCTTCCTTAATCCAGCTATGGTTCAATAGTTGACTGTTCAGTTTCCATGACTTTGTATGCTTTCTGGGGGTAGCATTATTGTTGAATTCTAACTTTAATCCATGGTGATCTGATAAGACACAGGTGGTTACTAATATTTTTTTGTAACTGTGGATGTTTGCTTTGTTACCGACTATGTG